TCAGATAACATGTAGTAACATAACATGCGTGATGAATTTAGGGCCGGAATTCAACTTCCCAAAGTCCAAAGTTTTTGCAATCTCTGTAATCCCGTATTTGTTGACTAACTCCTCACTCCAATAGATAAAATTACAATCCCACCCCTTGCGTCATATATATATACACACACATAATTAATAGTTGTAAATACAACCACACCCTTCTTCCATTTTCTACAAACCCATACTCTCTCACTTTGAAAATCGAAGATGAAATTGGCTCTACTACTCGTGGCCATGGCCGCAACCTCACTCGCGGCCCGGCCCGGGCCCGTGGGCTATTGGGGCAATTACATGCCACCTGTAGGCGGGTATGGTGGCGGTTCTAATTACATGCCACCTGGAGGCGGGTATGGTGGCGACATGCCACCTGGAGGCGGGTACGGTGGCGGTTCTTACATGCCACCTGGCGGTGGTTATCAGGGGCCATCTGGATCAGGGTATGGGTACGGGTACGGGTCTGGTGGCAATTATCCGGGGACACCTGGATCCGGGTATAGGTACGGGTACGGAGCTACTGTTACGTGCCCTAGCAAGTGTCATAAGACTCCGAACAAGACTGAGCAGAACTGTCCAAAAAAATGCTTCACCTCGCATGGCGACCAGGGGTTCGGTGGAGGAGGTGGCGGATGTCAGTGCCTCGCAAATTGTACCGTCACTTGTATATGAAGATATATTTATATATATAGATATATGTATATGAAGAGATGATGAGCACTCAGCACAGTCAATAAGGACTATGTAATTTACCAACATCATCAGCTTATATGTATGAAGCGGCCGGGTAGTATAATTATTATGACGGCAGTCGCTCTTGATACTTACGCTACTGCCCTATGTACAATATTATATACCTATATCAATTCTCTACTTTTTATTAGGCAAANATATAAATATTAAAATATTATATATATATATAATAATATAAATAAAAAATATAATAATATATTAAATGATATTCATGTTAGAACATTAATTTTGTTGTATTTTGTGGGTACGAGGACATCTTGTTTTAGTTGTATCGTTAAATATTAGTATTTTATTAATAAAATATTAAAAATATATTATTCAATATTGTAATTAGGGGGGCCTAATTTTATTTTTCGCTCTGGGCCCAAAAAATGTTGGAGACGGCCCTGCCTGCAGTAGGTAATTGTCACCGGCATAGTCCACGTGTAGTTTAACTTGCCTACGTGAAATTAATCTCTTGATTTTTATAAAGCTCGAAATTAGTGGGAATAATCGAACATAGAAGAAGATTAAACGATTCATGTGAGATCGACGCCCTCTTCATTTGCCTAAAAAACACAAAAACTCTCACTTTGAAAATCTTACATTCGCCGCAACCAAAAAAACACTAACAATTGAAGTTCTGACCTCCGGCTGCATTCGATGATCCTCCTCCAAAACATGGCAAGTTAGGCTATCACTTGTATTATTCCCAATAATTATGTTACTTTTGAATAATTGAGTTATTTGTTGGGTTTATAGAAGTAGGGTATGGATACTCTTATCATGTGGTCTTTTCTCATTCTCATTATTGGAAACATTGGGTAAAAAATGCTCCTGTCTTGGTAATTTTTTGTAGAAAATTGCTATTTGTTTATCAGTGGATGATTGGTAAAAAAAAAAACGTATATTTTATTTATTTATTACTGTATTTTTATATAGTTAGTTTTGTCGCACTTATATATTTTTGGACTTTTTATTCATTAGATGAATTCAAGTACTATGATATATTTATGAATTATTTTCAGTATATTGGAGTATTTTAATGCAAAGCGAGATATTAAACGAAAGTTCCAACCGACATAATATAGGGGTGCTCAATGGGCCCAAGATTAGTGGGCAGCATGCCTAATTTCAAAACCCAAAATATGATTCTATGTTGGTCAAGGATTATTCCTTCTAGAGGGAACTTGGAGAGGAGTGTTAAAAAGGGAAGCCATCAGAGGAGACAAAAGGCACAGAACAGTAGAACACACATGCAACAACATACTGGGATGAAAGACGCGGGATCACAGGCGAAGAAAAGCATACGCATAGAGAGGTCCCACCCATACATAGAACGTGATAATTTTATTCTCTTTCTTTTATAATTTATTATGTTAGAGTAATTTTTATTTCTATTTCAAAAGATGTCGACCCTATATATTTGGCTATGTTTGATTAATTTCGGCAATGGATTATTTTGCTATTTCTATGAAACTGCTTGTGTGGTTTTGTTTGATCAGCCATGATGTGTACGACTTTATTGAGATTGATCAACTAGATAGAGTTCTTTTATATCTAATGCTAGAATTAAACTATTGCAATTCATAATTGTGGTTGAATTTGATTCGTTAGTAGCAAACGATAGTCAGAAACTGTCGGGAATAACATGACCTGATTAATTAGACCGAGCGTGTGAGTCTACTACTTAGACTAGCCTAATTTCTTACATCCTAAAGTTGCTACTGCATTAAATCTAGAGAGCGTGTTCTAGATTATCTAGTAGCTAGGTTTAGTCGAAGAGCGTGTTTAAACTAAATATATTGTAAGACAAAATTCGGGTAGCAGTGCGTGTTTTTACCTAAGGCTAGTAATTTTAGTGTTTATATCCGAGTTGAAAAATAAGAAAGCTCGGAGCTTAATTGTATTTAAATAAATCATTGTGGAAAACATGACCTCAGGTCGGACTCCAATCCAACACCCAGGGGTCGGAAATCAAATGCAAATACCCCGACCTCGATGCATCAGAAGAGTCGGGAGAAAATTACTGATTGTTTATGAAATAATTTGTTCAAAATGAATTATTTTGGTTAACCATAGTTAATTTTGAAAAAAGTGGTATGGTTAGTTGTTAGTGAAATTTTAAGAATGTATTATAATAATATTTAAAATAAAATGATTAAAATTGATTTGATGTAAAAGTAGGAGATAAATGATTGGAAATGATTGGTAGTTAAAATTATGTGAGTGGATAAATAGTGAATTGAAGTTGATGTGATGTGTAAGAATGATTGGTTTGTATTATTTAATTATATGAATAATATTAAAGATAGTGGGGTTGGGTTAAAGTTGAGTTAGATTTTGAGTATGAAATAAATGAGAATGAAATAATTCATAAACAATCAAGCCCTAAGTATTAAAAACATAATCTCAGGTCGGACTCCTGCTCAACGTTCATGTCGGCTCCCCGAAAATGAAAGCCAGTCTGAAGACGAGCAGGAACTAACACTGAAGGTCCGACCTTGAGGCAATATAGAGGTCAGAGTTCCCAAAGCACTTTGTAACAATAAATTTTGTGTATTGAATTTATGAACACGAAAAATATTATACAAATTAATTTCTCGAATCAAATGGATTTTGTGGATTACAATCTCTATTTTCTCCTCTGATTTTTCTCATGAACGGTTTTAAGTCCTGGAGTGAAATCTCCGGCTTGATTTTCTCCTTGACTTGAATTAACGTTAATCCGAGGGTCAACGCCTTGATTTCGGATCAAACGTCATAATATCCCAAGAACTTGAAGAACACGAGTCATTGGTTTTCGCTGCAAAGTCGATCTAGGATCTTCTCTGCGCCAGTTTTGAGTTTACTAACGCAATTCGGAGGCTTGACAACTTGTTTCTAGATTTAACGTCAGTCTTGAGGTTGAACGCGCTTGAATCTTCCTTCGAATATTCAAGAACGCCTTTGAATTTTCAAGAACACTTGAATCTCATTGAGAGAATCTCTAGAGCTCTTGAACTTGAATGTTAATTATGATTTTTTTTTTCAGCTTTAGGAAGAGTCCCTATTTATAGGTGTAGGAGAGAAAATCCTACCAAATTTGAAAATCGTATGACGCGATTTGATTGGTCAATGATAATTCACATATGATTTTTTGGATGTACTTAAATGTCCCCAATATCTTCAAAAAGATATCTCACATTAGAAACACAAGTGAAAAATGTATGCTATTTAATTGATTTCACAATAAACCCTTCACAAATTCAAAAGCTAGAACTGTTGAACCATTCAAACCAGTCCTAGTTCATTGATTCGTCCCGTTTTGTACCGGTTCGAATGGTTCTTGAACAGTTCTCATGCCCGGCCCGAAATGAAAGCTAGTTCCCTACGCAACCGGTTTGTCGGTCCGGTCCGATTCGGTTTTCAGAACCATGCTTATCATTACTCAATCTTAATTAATTTAATTTCATGATTTCATATTTAAAATATTAAAATGGTGCAAATATTCAATTTGGATATTTTTCTAGGCACTTTTTTTTTTCTTCACTACAACCAGTATTCAATTAGAAAGAGTACCCAAAAATAAAATAAAATAAAATAAAATAAAATAATACATAGAACAATAAATAAAAGAAAGCTAATCCGATTTCCCAAAATTTCCAACATGTATAAATAGACAAATTTACTAATCAGTGTAGCTCAGAGTCCATTTTCTTGAGGCAGAACATATATGTATATATGTACGTATCTGCACATAGAATTACACAAAAAGCAGGGGATGTGAGTTTACTACTACCTGAACGCATGTTTAGCTTATCAGCAAGTGCAAAGACAAAATCGCAACACGCTTGAAAAGCTTTCGTCCTTAATCCGTAAGAAGCTATCTATTTTCTTTCGCTCTTTTTCATCTCTACTAAACAACTTGTTAATCGTGTAATTAAGAAGCTAACTACACATTCTCTTTTAGATCTTCAGCTACAAGCTCGTTTACGTCTCTTGGAGAATAAGATTCAGTTGTTGGGCGTATCTTGCTACACCACCTCCCCTCCTATAACCGAAAAATAAACAAAGAAAATAAAAATTATATTATATAAAAAACATGTTACGAAACGAATTAAAACCGGAATGCAAGNGAAAAGATTTACATATTAGTGTATATAATTAATGAAACTTATGATACCCATTAGTTGAATTCGCATTTTCATAAAACTAGTTTACTACCTCTCTTCTGCATGGAGATTAACCCCGACTGCTCGAGGTCTCGAAACTGTAGTACGAACTACTGTACCAAAAACGGCCACCAGCTTCAAAAGCATCTCTAACGAGACACTAGCATGCCTATACATGCAACAAAACAAACAAACAAAAATAATGCAGGTCTTGTTATTTGGTTCATTTATTCCCAAAAAAGAAAATCTAAATGAAAACCATTGCTAACAAAGTTCACCTTTCAGATTTGCTATCCAACAAATTTACAAGTACAGGCAGCAAGCAAGAAAACAGGTCCAATGTAATAACCTCCATTCTATCAATGAGCACACTGATTACATCTGCCTGTACCTGCTCACATGGAATAATTTCAATCAAATTTTGCAGGTATGAGTTATAACACGATTGAAAAGAGAAAAAAATATACTGCATTTACAGAAAGAAATACCCACAGAATGGTTAGGCAATTTTCTCACAGCATTTAGAGCTCCTTTAACATCGTTTCTTTGCCAAAAATGCCGAACCACCTGTTATCAGTACCCAGGTAAATATAATTTCTTACGAATGAAGATTTACCCATAACAACACTCTGAAATTACCTGTAACTTCATTAGCCGGGACCTAAATGTACTCAATAGCCCATCATGACTCTGCATTAGGTTCTCAATGACGGCATTTTCATCCAAATCTGATTGCTCCATCGTAACATTTTTCGGCTCATCATTCTGCAGCACATAGCCAGGTTTCATTGAATTAATAAAACTCCATCAAGAAACAGCAAAAAGAAGAAATCTTTTACACGGTCATTTATGACAAAGAGAATATATATAGAACTTGCTGTAAGAATCATGCTCGACTATGTAAA